CTTCGCTCATCTAGCGTTATGCATTCTTTCCTCCATAAGAAAACAAGAAGAGACAAAAGCTAGAAGGGAGAGCACAGAGAGAAGAGGGAGGATGAAAGTAGTGAGATTGGTTTGTGTTCTTAAATCTTCATTCTGCAAGAAGAGGACCACATGCAGGATGAATGCAGTGAGACTGAGCAAGGGCGCTTATCTTTATTATGTGCTATTCCTTCCTTGTCTTTTTTCTTGTACATTCTGCTCGTGGCTTTCTCTTTCTTTTTCTTGCTGTTAGCTTGCTTAGACACTCTTGTTAGTTCCTTGTGCTTTCCCCTATTGTCTGTTCCTTTCTCGCTGAGCGGGTAGACGAAAAGAACACGCGCGAGTGGACAGGGGAACCGTCTTCGTCCTTGTATTTACTCCCTGCTTTCTCCTTAAAAGAAGTTGGAACGCTGGGGAGGCATTACAGAAGGCAAAAGGAAGGGGAGCAGGGGAACTCATCCCGGCTCTAGGGAGAAAGTGTGCCTCCTTATGCAACAAACAAGTACTTGCTTCTCTCTCTGTTCCCGTCCAGATGCTTCGCTCATCTAGCGTTATGCATTCTTTCCTCCATAAGAAAACAAGAAGAGACAAAAGCTAGAAGGGAGAGCGCAGAGAGAAGAGGGAGGATGAAAGTAGTGAGATTGGTTTGTGTTCTTAAATCTTCATTCTGCAAGAAGAGGACCACATGCAGGATGAATGCAGTGAGACTGAGCAAGGGCGCTTATCTTTATTATGTGCTATTCCTTCCTTGTCTTTTTTCTTGTACATTCTGCTCGTGGCTTTCTCTTTCTTTTTCTTGTTATTAGCTTGCTTAGACACTCTTGTTAGGTCCTTGTGCTTTCCCCTATTGTCTGTTCCTTTCTCGCTGAATGGGTAGACGAAAAGAACATGCACAAGTGGACAGGGTAACCGTCTTCGTCCTTGTATTTACTCCCTTCTTTCTCCTTAGAAAGAAGTTGGAACGCTGGGGAGGCATTACAGAAGGCAAAAGGAAGGGAACAGGGGAACTCATCCCTGCTCTAGGGGAAGAAGTGTGCCTCACTTATGCAACAAACAAGTACTTGCTTCTCTCTCTTCCCGTCCAGACGCTTCGCTCATCTAATGTTATGCATTCTTTCCTCCATAAGAAAAAACAAGAAGAGACAAAAGCTAGAAGGGAGAGCGCAGAGAGAAGAGGGAAGATGAAAGCAGTGAGATTGGCTTCCGTTCGTAAGTCTTTCTGCAAGAAGAGAACCACAGAAGAGAACAAAGAGAGGATAAGAGGATGAATGCGGTGAGACTGAGCGCGGGCATTTCTCTTTGTCATTTGTTGTTCGTTCCTAGTGTTGTCTTGTGCGTACTGCTCAGAAAAGTTGGAACGCAGTGGAGGCATGAAGGCAAAATGGAGGAATAAGGGAACTCAACCGCACTCTATGCGAAGAGGAGCCCAGGGAACCCAGGCCTGCACCAGGGGAGCCGAAACCCCTTTGCAGCGAACAGCTGCCTGCTTTCTTTCTTTCTGTCTGTCTTGCTTTCTTTGTTTCGTTCTTTCTTTCTGTTTCCTTTCTCTCGAGGGGTTTGTGGAAGGAGGCCCCCACTCGCACGCGCGCAGCCCCAAATCCGACTTCGCGAGACTGCTTGCAGTTTCTCTCCTCAATAAGAAAAGCAAAGAGCAGAGAAAAAGGGAGAAGAGAGGAGAGCGAGGACGAAGGTAACGAGATGATCTTGGGTTCTTGGACATTCATCTCTCTTTCCGACAAGAACAAAGCCAGAGAGGGAGATAAGAGAGGTGAGGGAGGATGGGGCGCCTCCCCCTTATGGTTTATTTCCTTCCTTTTTTCTTCTTCCAACAAGAAAGGGAAGAGAGGAGAGATGAGGACAGTGTGTAAATAGAAGAATGACATATTTGAATGTTTACCTCTTCGTTGTTCTTCTCCTGTTACCCGACTCCTTTTCTCCTGAAAGAACCGCACGTTAGTCAAATGTTTGTTGCTTTCCTCTTGCTGTCTGTTCTTTTCTCGTTGAATGGGTAAGTCCAAAAAAATTGCACAAGTGGACAGGGGAACCGTCTTCGTCCTTGTGTTTACCCCCTTCTTTCTCTTTAAAAGGAATAGAAACGTTGGAACGCAAAAAAAAGGGGAACCGGGGAACTCACCCCTGCCCTCGGGGAGAGTGTGTCTCCCTTATGCAACAAACAAGTACTTGCTTCTCTCTCTTCCCGTCCATGTGCTTCGCTCATCTAGTGTTATGCATTCTCTCTTCCACAAGAAAACGAGACAAGACGAAAGCTAGAAGGGAGAGAGCAGAGAGAAGAGGGAGGATGAAAGTAATGAGATTGGTTTGTGGTCTTAAATGTTCATTCTGCAAGAAGAGAACCACAGAAGAGAAAGAAGGGAGGACTAGATGATGAAGGCAGTGAGGCTGAGTGCGGGCACTTCTCTTTGTCATTTGTTCTACATTATGCTCGTGGCTCGTCCCTTTTTCTTCCTTGTTGTTATCTAGCTTGCTTAAACACTCTTGCTAACTCCCAACATTAAGACCCTAAATCCCATAATCCAAGTAGCAGACGTCCCGATGAGTCCTGAGCCTAGACCCTAAACCCTAAACCCGAAACCTTCAGTAGTATAGAACATATTAAAACAAAGAGAACATGCCTAATAATACATAAAGGTTCCTCTTACATATATATATATATATATGTTTTGGGGGGGGTCCAAGAGGAGAAAACCTCGTAAATATCTAGTGTTTTGTGGGTCCGCGTAAAAACACCCCTAAACTCGCGCATTTTATGCGCTCGCACGGCATCTCATGGACAGCTTACCCCCCCCCCCTCCTATACCCCCCCCTCCCCCCCATTAAGCTCTTAGTGAGCAGGGGTGCTTGCTTTCCTGAATCGGGAGACTTCTAGTGCATTTCTTGCTAAGCACTTGCAAAGCACTTGCTAAGCACTCGCTAAGCACTCGCTAAGCGCTCGCTACGCGCTCGGTAGGCGTTCGGTAGGCTCTCGGCAGATGCTCGATTGCTCGAGCAGCTGCTGAGGCCTTGCTGAGTGTCGAGCGCTTGCTGAGTGCTTGCTAAGAGCACGCTAGCCGCTCGATGGGGGGGAGGGGGGGGTAAACCAGGGGGGGGTAAGCTGTCCATGAGCATCATGCCCACAAAACACCCGAAAAGCAATACCCTGAATAGCCTTAAGGGCATTCGGGGTCTTGCTTTTCGGTGTTTCGTGGGCATGCAACCGTTCAAGCACATAGTGTCGGCGGGGTTTCGGAGGCCTGGGCAAGCCGCTGATGCTCATGATGCTCCCTTTCATGGTGGTTAAACGGCTTTCCAACCGAAAAAAAACGCGTGTTTACCACATTTGTTAAAGAATTCCAAGGCTCCCGAACCAACCCCGCTGATGCTCCTGACGCGGGTGAGCGCGCGCCCGCGCGCCTTCGCGCGCGGGTAGAGGAAAGAGAAGGAGAGACAGAAAAAGAAAGATGGATGAGGGAGAAAGAGAAAGAGAAAAAGAAAGAGAAAGAGAAAGAGGAAGAGAAACAGAGAACGAGAAAGAGAAAGAGAAAGAGAAGATTAAAAGAAGGAAGCACAAGAGAAATGCGAGGAGAAAGAGAAACAGAAAGCAAAAGAGAAACCGAACGAGAAAGAGTAAAACAAACAGGTAAAGAGAAGAGGAAACAGAGAAAGAAAAAGAGGGAGAGAGAGCGAGGAGAGCGAGAAAGACAAAACACAGAGAAAAAGGGAAAGAGAAGACAGTGCCAGGTTCGAGGTTTCGTATTCGCATTTTGGGGGGGGGGGGCCGGCCCGTGCCGCTAGGCCTAAAACACGCGGGGTTTTAAGTAGGGTAAGAACTGGTTATCGCCTTACTTGGGGCACTTAGAACCCTACTTATAAGTACTCATGGACCTTCAAGTAGTGCCCTATATATCCCTTTAGAGGGAAGTCTGTGGATTTAAGGGTACCTTAACGCTAACTCCGTCAGTTCCCTCTTTGAATCAGGCTTTGGTTTGTCGCCGAGATGTTCGAACCCGTAGCTAGCGGCTTTCGCATGGCTATCACACGCCCCAACGTCAGGTGGAGATTTTAGTTTGGAATGTCGACTTCTGCACAGAAGCAGTGCTTAGGCTCTCGAAGCCCGAAAGTGGGCTGCTTGTGGACAGCCCCAGGCACAAAAACCCAAACTCGTTACTTGTGGGACCTCTAGCTGGTGCATCATGTGTGCGTCATTGTGGGTCCGGCCAGATGCTACTTCGCATGATTGCTCCACGCTGGCCCAGGCCAGGGGAGTCGCGCAGCGCTAGATTTAGGGTCCAACTGTTGCCATATGGAGTATGACATTTATAAGAAGGAATACAGTATGGAGCACTGCCCGCACTGCAGAGCTAGAACCTCAGACCAAAAAGGCTACAGGTTGGCGGATCTGTTTGGAAGGTCACTGCGGCTGCGGCAACTGTCAGCGGAGGTGACCACGACCTGGCCAGTGAAGGGCAGCAGGATGCGACTGATTTCGCTGCATAAAGCGAATCCAGCTCTGCTCCTCAGCTACTCTGAGGACTCTGAGAGCTCAGCGCATGCTGTCAGGAACGTTGAAGCAAGCCTTTGCCCCATTCAAGTCAGCTGCAAGAACATGAACATGACGTTCGAACACTGCTCTGAGGTTTGTAAACTTGTGACATCGCAGTTCTGGAAGGCCGGGACACTGACATCCTCATGAAGATCAGCGTCAGGTCGATGCTTTTCCCAGCCCAGCACGAAGTAGATGTGTACACCACGCAAAGCGCAAGGCAAGGGCGGATGATTCGAGCGATTACTGCTTGCATGCTGGTTGCAGGTCAGTACATGTTTCTGCCCTTACTGAGCCATAAGCTAGCGGCAGAAGGTTTCCGCACACGCATGACATCGCAGACCAGATTGCTCCAGTGTACATCACACGCAGCAGCCTCAGCTGACATCTTAACTATTCGGGAAGAAGACTGCCCATTTTTTCCGGACCGAGATCGGCTGTCTCAGCCTGGAGGTGATGTGTAGCCTTGCGGAGTACTTGCAAGGATGGGGGTCAAGAGATAAGTAGCATGCCCCTCACAGATTTGGGCTGCTAAAGTAACTTCTAATTCGCAGAGCCGGCCTGAAGTGCCATTGACTGCAGGATTCGAGATCTTGCTTATGAGCCAGGACCTATGCGCAAGGCTATCGGTTTAGGGTTTAGGGTTTAGGGTTTAGGGTTTAGGGTTAGTGCCACATGGTGACATGGCCCTTGCCACGCTGCAACCCGGAAGATGCTGAGGGGCTGACGAGGACTGAACTTTGTCTCCCAAGCCGTCTACCAGCTTGATACCAAGCTCTCTGCAAACATCTGCCTCGACGCCGGGTCTCCAGACTGCATACAGAATAGCTCCACAAAATAGGGTCCCAAAGCATCAGCGCAACGTCCGAATCAGAACAATTCCACAGCCTCTGGAACATCCTCGTTCCTGATATCCCCACCTCAGCTGGCATGCTTAGAGGTAACTCCGACTCCTATGTCAAGGCCGCTGCTGCAATGAGCCCGCGTGCCGCACTAAGGTGCTGACCGTTGGTGAAGATGTCCTGAGTGGCCAACAAGCAAGCATCACTGAAGAGACTCTGCAAGCTGCCAGCTGCAACCAGGAATCCGGATGCAATAGTCTGAGGGTTCTTTGAACTGTTTGGTCCTCACAGCCAACAGGCGAGCACTGCAACGTCTACGGAAAATGAGACAGTCGTTGAGTTTGGCCAGCAAAGGGCTCTGTAACCCACTATCCTCAGCTAGGTCTCCTGATCGATAGCCTCGATGGCTGCGTCGACACAGGCCAGGGACCGCACAAGCTTTACTCGCTCTCGCGCTGGCCTTTGCTAAATGCAGGGCATGGGCTGGGCTCTCTGACCGGGATGTTTTGTGGGCACAGGTTCTGGGAAGGTGCAGAGAATGCAGCGTTTGGGTTGTCCATGCTGCAGCTTGCAAACGTCCGGCGCGCGGACACCGAATCACTTCATACACTGTTCGTTAGCACCAGCATCAACCGCTCCCTATCCCAACCTCCTAAACGATGATAAACGAATATAAACTATTGTAAAGTATTGTCAACTATTATAAGCCCTTATAAACCCTTATAAACTATTATAAACTATTCGGGGCCTTGAGGCCCGGGCATGAATGGCTGGCCTTTCTTAGCGGCAGCCTCCCCACGGACGTTTCAAGAGAGGGTGTAGGATGCAGAATGCCAGGCAGAGCCATACGGCTGAGTCCTTTAAGCCCCCTAAACCCTAAACCCTAAACCGTAAACCCACCTTCGATGTTTCCGCTGCATCTTGGGGAGGAGGGAGGCGGGGGCACGTAGGGGTCGCGGGAGAGTTCATCCGCAGGTTTCCCCTCGTGATTGACAAGAAACCTTGCCTGCACATCGTTGTTGACGATGACGATGAGCTTGTCACCGAGATCCTGAAACAGCTGGGTCTTTGACTCAGGATAGCTTCAGGAGGGAAGTTGCCCGGGTAGGTTTCGAAGTGCGGGTGACATAAGGGCCATGAGATTACGAAGGGACCTGCGCCGGGGATGTGGGGAAGCTGCCCACCTGAAACTGCCCCCGGGCTCTCAGACTGCGCCCCAAAACCCCTGCAACCCGAAGGCACCCTTAAGCCCCAAACCTCAGACTCTTGAAAGCCCCTCCTAAACCCTAAACCCTAAACCCTTAACCCTAAACCCTAAACCCTAAACCCTAAACGGCCCTAAACCCTGAACCCTAAACCCTAAACCCCCCAAGCTCTCCCTGGACCGCTGCAGGTACTCGATGTGGCCGTAGTGCAAAGGATCGAAGTATCCAGATGCCACAACGACCTCAGGGGGGCGGGGGGTCCTTATCGCTTTTGCTTCCTTCACGGCAACCCTGTAAGCTGTTGCTGTTTTGATTTCTCCTGAAAGTGCTGCTACACTGCTTCTTCGCAGCCTGTCGCCTAGTGTTGCCATAACAGGCCCCGTCACACTTAGCAGTGAAATAACACGACCCAACCTTCTGCGACATCTCAGCCGCAGAGTTGGGTCACCCAGCCTGTGGCCAGCTGGCATGTAGCAAAAACATCTGAGTCCATACCGTGGACTTTTTTGACTGAGCTGGAATGGCACAAACCATGTGACAGCTTCTTCACCCCACCGCCCTGCTCTGGCTGCCTCTGCCTGCTAGACATAGGACAAATGAGCCGATGAGAACTCTTGACTTTCGACTTTAGACTTACATTCTCCTCCGTAGGAGTATATCCTACGCAGGCCTCATAGACAGCAGTCCAAACTCCTTGCAACTGGGTCCCTTCATCATCCCCCTCGGGATGATGCCATGCCTCTGCCCTGAAAAGGAAAAAGTCACGAAACCCGAAACCCGAAACCCTAAACATGACATGATTGCACCAGATGGCACCCTTAGGGTTTCGATTCCCCAAGAAGTCAGTGTTGTGGTGCCTGCAGCCCTGGAGAGGCAAAAGGTCTAACCCATGCAAGCGTAGTGAGCCAGAATTCCGCGGGCGAGCATGGGGCATGGGCTACTAAGCTGTAACTCCAAAGGAACCGCACCAGTCCACATCTCAGGGTCTCAGGGCTGCTGACATTGCCTGGCCCTTCTCAAACCACAGCGACTCTAGGGACTATAGTGGCTAAACTTCAGCACTCTCACCCAGACTTTGCGCAGGTGACAAGCCTGTGCAGCGACAGTTTGCGTGAAATCATATTGGAGCCCAGGTAGTCTGGGAGCATGTCGTTACACCCGTCGTTACGAAACATTCCGAATGCAAGGCTTGAAGGCAGGGTAGAAGTTCGTGAATCAAGCCTTCCTATGAGATACTTCCAGCAGCAAAAAAAGAGCGACTGTTTTATTGAGCTCATGGGCGCGCCGGTCATCTAACGGTCATTTGATCATAGTTGATTTCTTCCACGATCTTCTTCGGGGTGCTGGGATTCAGAACCACCTTGGCCAGAAAGAAGCACAACGCAAAATGTGCCCCATTGGTTCGAATTGGTCCATGGTTCTACGTGAATCAACCTCGGGCCTCCCAGGTGCAAAGACTGCCAACAGCCACTCGGCCCTTGTGCAACAGGCTTCGCCCTTCGCCGTGCCGCCACCCTTGGACCCTCAAGCCTGAGACTTTCTGAGTCTTATAGCCTTGAACCCAAGGCTTGCAGCAACTCAGGCAACGGCATCATTCCAGTCCCTGCCAGCAGACAAGTCCAGAATCGGCGAATCTGCGGTTATGTGCAAGGACAAGGCAGGGACAAGGCCTTCGGATGAACTCGTTCCCGAACTTGAGGCGCAATGGCATCGGAAGTCGCTGGTCATCCTGCTACTCCCAATGTTCGCTTGGACTGCAATGTCTGGACTCTAGACATGAACCACGAGCGAGTGCTCCTGGCGCAATGGGGGGTCATACTCCTCCCCAAACACGAGGTGCCACGTAAACCTGATCTGGATCTCAAAACATGCTTTCTTTGTGGCAGCTCAGTCCGCAAACTTTAAAGGGAAGCTCGGCCTGACAACAGAGCCCGTGCTGAGCTACCCACTCCATTCCGTAGCAGTGCGTGGAGCGCGTTACCTTGCCTTGCATGAGAAGGAGATCACCATTGGCACGGCGCAGGGAAAATGGAGAACGTGTGCCTGGATAGCACAAATCATTCTGCAAAGTGCCGTCCACCAACCTGAGCCAATGCAGTACTGCCCAACGGTTTTACACGCACATAAGCCCCGCCCTAATCTTGCCTCAGCATCTGCTGGTAGAACTCCAGCGGCCGCTCGCGGATCTGAATAAGCCAGCAGCGAGTTACTGGAGAAGATGCTCTCTTTGCACTCGGTAGCGTGCCTTCTTATCGTGGACCACGAACTGCGCGCAGCAGTATGGGCCAACCTGTGCCATTGCCAAGCCAGGGTGCGCATAGCTCTCATGGCCTTTAGTTATGTCAGTGGTACTAAGATCCCTATAAGGTGTAGGCTGCATCTCTCATCTTCTCGCCGAAGATTGCCTGGCGCGACATGTTTGATGGTGCCGGTACCGAGCATCGCAACTTGAAACCTCGCATCGGGGCTGCAAGTTGTATCGTAGCATGGTCGGGGGCTCTCTGCCACTTGCAACGGTGTGGGACACTGCTCAACCAAAGAGGCTACGGTGGGAAGCAGCACTTGCGACCTCGTGCACCGCGTTCAAGCACGGCGTGTAGGTGCGAACATGCCTGGCGCACGCAACCCTTGCAGCCAGACCAGATGCATGAACATGCGTTCGTCAAGAAGAAGCCGCTGAGCCAGACAACACGAGAGAACACACACGCACTCACGAGCTTTTCAAACGCACTGCATGCACGGCTCCAGAAAATCATGCCGCGCATGCCCCATCTTGTTGGCTGAGGTACAGATGCGGCCACATGTCAACGACGACACACCTGTTCCCTAAGCCCTGCTGGCCTTGCGCCGTTGAGGCTGAGGAAAGGCACGGCCTGCAAGAGGATTTAGGCTTGTTGGGGGGTTGAGGGTTGTTTTTTGCCGCCTGACCAGCAGGAGAGAGAGCTGTACCGCATGAGCAAATGCTCGCAGCTCGCAGTCCGAGGTCAGTCGCTCTGCCAACGCATCCCGCGGTTGTGCTCCAACGCTTGAAGCTTGAGCGTTTACCCCGTGCACAACTGCTCGCCAAGACATGTCACCACTATTCAGGTTGCTGTACATCAAACTGCTGCCTAAGATCACGGCATGTCTGTTCCTTTGCGGCAGATCGAGCACGCCACCGCCCACATCTACATTCATCCGCAGAGTGGGGGGGGGGGGGCAGATGGGTAGAGGAGTTAACTCATCAAAGCCTAGCTTGACGCCCTTGTCGAGGTCCACCGAATCAAGCCACCCCATGATGTGTGCATTGTGGATACTGGATTTGTAGAATTGAGGAAAGAAGCTTGCTTGAAGTCCTCCAGGTCCCTCCTTCCTTTGTCATCTTCAGACCACTTCAGCAGTTTGGCCTTCCAGATCTCGACGTTGTCCGGCTCAAGCTGTTTGGGAGTGGCGCAAAATGATCAGGGGCCGAAGCGCAACCAGAATCATACATGTGTGCCCATAGCCACTGCAATCTGCGCAGGGCAGGCAGAGCGAGATCGCCGAATTCCCGGCCCGAAGGGCAAGAATACAATGCCACACAGAGAACCAAAGCCACTCGGAATCTGGCAGCCAGCTCCAGGTCGGATTTCGCACGAAGCCGCCTTCCAGAGCGAGTCGCCAGAAGATGACTGACAACTGCCCAAAGCCTCGAGTGATTATCTATTATGTTGCTAGCGTCTCAGGGTCGCTGACATCTTTCCGGGCATTCACTGCCCTCTCGCAGCGATTAATCGCCATGCTGAACGCAGCATCGGAGACTTCGCACGTCGCTTTTGCGGCGCCAGCCAAAAAACCCACCCCGCGCTTCCACTGCGCACCTCGGGCCATCGCCGCCATTGACCGGCATCTTTTACAGCACTGCTGCTAACCATGTTCAACGAAACCAGGGCGGGTGAAGCACGATATGCTTGACCTGGCAGCCAGTCGCCCCTCGCACCGGCGCGGGAGAGCTGACCGTAGGCCACGTCCCCCCCCTCTCTCCCTGACTCCCGACTCGGAGGCCGTATTCCCAAGGCAAGCTGCGGCTGGCCCTTGCACGCGTGGCCAGGTCGCGCTCGCCGAGTCCATCTGTCAGCAACTGCAGACTGACCTGCCAGGCCCTGGCTGGCGCCTGCTGGCCTGACGCCCCTGGCGGCGCCAGGGAGCCCAGGCGCAATCCGCGTCTGGCCAGCTGGCAGGAAAGCTCTGGATGCATTGTTGCTGTTTGAGTGGAAGCGGCAAATCCGATGCTAGTTCTGCTAAGGGGCCATCACAATCCAAGCTCTTTGAACCTGTCAGCTGGCAAGTGCTCAGCTGACGCATGCGGGCGGGGATTCCAAAGACCCACAGCTCGAAGCAAACGAAGGACATCTGACTTCACAGTCACCGCTTCAGTAGCTGGGGTTGCGGCATAGGTTGCGGAAGCCACCATCTTCGCGACCACATGCAAATACCTGCGTCAACGGATCGGTCACGGCCATGGGCAAGTGCGATAGACTTCGTTTAAGAGCATTGCTGGGCTTGAAAAACGTAAATGCAAAGTGGCACGAGAAGTGCAGGTGCTCGCTCGGATCCGCCTGATGCAAGCACTCGAGTTTGCGCTTGATGACTTTGGGTCGTGACGGTGAGTCTGGGAAATCACAGCGCGAGAGTGGAGGTCGAGATGGAAAAAGGCTACGGGCCGAGTCGAACAGCATAACCATACACAACCCGAGCCTCTCCGCCCTAAAACTCAGCTCTCCGCTCTTCCTGAATCTGTGTCAGCATTTCACGACACACCGACACACCCCACACTCCTGCAGAAAGACCGTGAACGTGGCCAAGTTCCAGTAGTTGGAGACGATGTGAGCCCTCAGTTGCACCGTGCCACCATCGCTTCAAGTGCCTGCTACTGAGCTCTCTAACTTCTTGCTCAGAAAGTGAAGTTCTCTCTCTGTCTCTCTGCATTTGGACTGGCCTAAGTGAACTTCTACCAAGACTTGCAAAGCCTTCTCATGCTGACAAGTATATAGGGCTGGGGCAAGTAGCCCAGGCACTCATCTCCACGAGGGCCGTCTATGGGATCCCTACCTTGGCCGACACTCGCTGGGAGGTGAGTTTTGTTCTCCTCTCTGCTGACCAAGTGATGCACTTGTGGCTTCAACCTAGGATGGTGCACGGCCAGTGTCACGCATGTGCCATTTCAGTCAAGAGGCAGGATCTGATCGACACTGGCGCAAAGTGCTGCGTCACAGCGCCTGGCAAACACTTAGGACTCAAAAGTTGCAGGAGCTACATGGGTGCGCAAAAACGGAACTTCAAATCCCCAAAGAATGGCAGGGTCTCTTATATGGTCCGACAGGCACGCACACTGAAGCAGCATTGTGTGTGGCCCCACCTGCCTGAGAACTTCGGCTCCTCCCCGCCTGGACTCCCATGTCTTGGCCCCATGTTTGATGCAAACAACTCCTCTCTTCGCTTCACACAGAGCTTCACATGCCACATTCCGGAACACTTGGAGGTTCATGGGCTTTAAGTAGGGCTATAAGGAAGGTAACTCTACTCATAACCTTACTTAGGGTACAGTACTTATAACTCTAATTATAAATACCCATGAACCCCCAAGAAGGAGTAGGCAAGAGTGCAAGTTGTCGGTCTGAAGCTGCTGTGGTCATGGCATTTCTCGTAGAACGTGAGCTGCGAGCCTTCATCAAAGACACATTGCATGGCCGGCTGCGTACAGCTGCACCACTGCTGAATCCTAATTACGCTCTTCAAGTTCGGAAAGGGGGAGCCGAGCGACGCAACTTGCATTGTCAGCCAAGCTGTGTGGCATCTTGAATCGTGCACATGGGCCATGGGCGAAGACAATGCTGGGTCCGTGGCCGGCAGGGGCAATCGGCAGAAGGTCCGCCTCCGAATTCAGCTGCAGAGTTCAGTTCTTGTGGTGGCATGCTGCTGTTAAAAGCTGACGCGCGCAATCAATGAGCTCAAATTCGGTGCTTGGCGCCGTTGCACTGAAGAAGGTCACTAAGTTCCCAGTTCCCACTGGATACGACGTGCTGGTGATAACCGTTCTGGAAACATTAAGGTGTGGATCTTGACTGGCACATTCACGCACATGGCACCTTGTTGAAAGCATGGTTGCTTTCTTGTATTGAAGAAATGTGGACGGCAAACCCCCGTTGCTCCTCTTCTCATCAGTAACATACACATTGCATCGTGCCATTGTCGTGTGTAGAGCACCCGGAACAGTCAGAACCTTCCCATTCCGGTCGTGAAGATATGCGTGCCTCTACCCATTCCAGCGGCTCTTTGCAGTGCACTACCACGAACTCCAGCGTGATCCCCTGAGAGAAGTCGCTGGAACTGCCCGACTGGCAGAAATTGCACTGCATGACTCACCGCCGCTTTGTGCGTTGCGGGTCTGCCCCATCTGCGCATCTGGGCAAGGCGCACGGGGCCCGCCCAGCAGCGTGGGGTAGGACTGCCTGGCCTGCGGCGGGTTCGCAGCAGCTAGCTGATCGTCAACATGCATTTTTTTCACCATGGCCGCCCACCATCGACAGTACATGCCACTGCTTCGACCGAAAGCTTGCGGAGCCCACCTGCAAAGCCGCGTTTTCTGTAAGTTGCAATCTCGAGATGGCCTGCTGCAGATCAGGCAAGGCGTGCGTGCGCGTGGACACTGTGTCACTATACCATGCCTGGACCTGCCGCCTGCCTTTCGGCCCAAAGCATGTCAATTGACAAACTTCGTCACTAATACGTGCGACTAAGCCTGCCAAAAGTCGCACCATGCTGGGTCCTCAGTCTCGGCATGATGCTTAGTCGCCTGTTCATGCCTGTTCCCTCCCTTGTCCCACGACAGCCTCGCGATAAGGCCACACAGATGTCTCCTTCGAAGCAGCAGGGAATAGCAGGGACAGTTAATTAATTTAATTCAGTAAACTGCCAAGCGGACAAAGGAAAAAGGACTCAGCTGCTGGGCCCCCTGCTGCCAGAATCGGCTTCACCAACTGCCAAGTTGGGGTTCCCGAAACATAGGGGTACCCTTTAGGGGACTGTACTCTATTTGGGGTACAAAGGGGTACCCCTAGTTTGGGACATGCCCAGGTTGGCTGTCAGAGTGTCACCAGAAGGTCCCAGCTGTGGACAACAAGGCAAGCTCTAGATGGTGGTGGGGCCTCGTTGAGTTCATCCACCATGGACATGGCCTTGTGGAGAGCGGCACGCGCGAGAAAGCGACATCGGCTGAGAGCTAGTGTGAGGCCGCGGCAATGCCCGAGTATGTATAAGCATCCTCGTCGCCCATCGGAAGCTTCGCCTGCTAATTACAGCAGCTTCAACCAAGGATTGACTACGATTAACTCTCACAACCCATTGCCCAATAATTCACGAAACTGTGTAGCAAAGCCCAGCTCAAGCCATGACCCGCGCTGCACTCAAGCTCAGAAGTCTCCCATTCACACCTCTGCCACCAACAGGTATGCCATCAACAGCGGGGCCTCAAAAGTCACATGGAGGACGCTTTGCTTCGCGCTGACGCTGCTTACTGACTTGCTGAGGACACGTGCAAGTTGCTGGAGTCATCCGACTTATTCGGTGCCACTGTGCTGCGAATCCCAGTAGATTCGGGAAGCTTTGGGGAAGCATGGTTCCTCATAACTAGTGGTAGTCGATGGTAGACGTAGCCGTTGTGGGGGTGCAGCGGACTGAATTGCGGTCATTACGCTTGTAGTGGTGTCAGGTGGTGGTGGGGCTGTTCGTGATTAGATAAGTCGTGGCCGTGACATTCAGATCGGCCACATTAAAAGCAGCACTGGAAGGAATGAGAGAGTAGGATAACCGCAAACTTCGACCCCCATCCCCCACATCAGCTGCGTTTCTGACAAGTCTTTGGAGCAAGCTTCCTGCAAACAAAATGTGCACGGTTGACGGAGCCGAGTGTGACTTTTAAGTCTGGTGCTATTTTGCACCAGTAGTCCTGTGAATTGTTGTGTTCTCCGATTCCCAAAATATCAGCGAGCTCTCTGCCTGAGCTTTCATGTGCGTGCGCAATAAACATGTCCAAGCACAATCCACACCAGCAGCATGCCTCAAATCGCATCTTTCTTAAGCCCGGCGGACGAAAACATGCGGACAGCCTTTCTTTGAAGCCATCCCAAGGTGGATGTGTAAATCAATCCGTCAGTAGCCTTTCGTAACGTCGATTCCTCAGATGTCTCTGAAACAGCTTTCTGAAGAGACGAAGAGAGGATGCACTTGCAGAAAAAAAAAAAAGAGGCTCCAGACTCTTGCGTGCGGGGCTCTGTTGGGCATTGCGGGGAAACCCTGTTGGGCCGCTGCATTAAACAGCTCGGCCAAGGCCGCCATGCGGTAGCGCTCCGTCGCGGGCAGGCCTCGCTGCTTTGCTCAGATCCGGCTTGTCACCCCTGTCAAAATTATATCGGATTCTACATGTGTAGTATATTATATCTCATTTCTTGACATATTATATATGATATGTTTCATATTATATTGTTTTGTGGTTATGTATTATATTATTATATTATATTATAATTTGATATGATAGTATATTATAAACATATATATATATATATACATACATATATCCAATCTCAGGCTGCCACCGACTGAGCCGGCGCGGTGTGGTGACATTACGATGTTGTCGAGGCCTGCCAAGTGCTGCAGAAACAACTTCCTGAAGAATGCCAAGGACATGGGAGTTTACGATGTTAGGGGGTGCCTTATTGAGGCCCTTATTATCAGGGAATCCTACAATTTGGGGGTCTATATTTGTGGTCCAGATTATCGTAAACTCACATATCGTGCGTGTGTTCTTCCACGTCGAACTCGTCATCGGACAATTCACCATGCTGGCACGTCATATCACATGACCCCTTGCGGACAATCACTGGCCTTCAGCCGCAAACACATCATTATTGCTATTACTATTGTGATTATGATTAATTATGATGATGATGATGATGATTAATATTATCAGTATGCGCGATTGCTATTGCCTCTTGGTTCTAAAGCTTGCTGGTCCCATTCACGAGGTCAAAAAAGCGATCGTTCGTTTTGACCAGTGGGAAGAACTGGGGATGGCTCTTCACTCTACATAGTTTAGGGTTTAGGCTTAGGGTTTAGGGTTTAGGGTTTAGGGTTTAGGGTTTAGGGTTTAGGGTTTAGGGTTTAGGGTTTAGGGTTTAGGGTTTAGGGTTTAGGGTTTAGGGTTTAGGGGCGCATGCGGCCTCCAAAGTCAAACTTTGCAGACACGGGGGTGTTGCTGCGGCTCCTGGCATCTGCTGGGTACTTGTACCAGCAATCGACTCCAGCCTTGGCTGCCAGCACCCCAACTGCGTCGCATTGGGCCGTGCGGCGCTCGAAAAGAAAAAGCAGAACCATCCTAAACCCCTAAACCCTAAACCCTCAACCCTGAGGCTTCTGCAGAAGTTGTGCAACATGGGCTTCAAGACCCACCATCCCAAAGTCCCTGTAGGGTTTAGGGATTTTTAGGGGCTAGGATTTAGGGCTTAGTCCCCGTAGGGTTTAGGGTTTAGGGTTATCTTTTTTGCTTAGGGTTAAGGGTTTCCTACGACCTTGGCTTCGGGATCCTCAGTGCCAGGGCGCCCCCAGCAAGTGGTTGCTCTTCAGCGCGCTGAAGAAGGCCTCCTCGTTGATCACATGCCCGCCTTCGATCTTGCGGCTCCAAGGTGTGGATTCGAAGCCCCGGCTTCGGACGCCAGAACTCATGCTAATGTCTCGGGCAGGCTTGGTAAACCCTAAGCCCTAAGCCCTAAGCCCTAAGCCCTAAGCCCTAAGCCCTAAGCCCTAAACCCTAAACCCTAAACCCTAAACCCGAACCCTAAACCCTAATCCTAAGATGCAGTGTGCCAGGATGAAACCAGGCCGCTTCCATCGCTGTCGTCGTGCAATCTTGTCGGGTCGAGTCGACGGAACAGCCCCCCCCCCCCCCCCCCCCTACCCCCCCTCACCCCCCCCACCGCCCCCACCCCAATTTCTGATGCGGGCAGTTTCGGATTTCTGTTTTTGACTCGCGCTGGTTTCTGACTCGTGGGCTCTGATTTCGTGGCTGTGTTGCTGATTCGCAGGCTGACTTCTGAGTTTGTTCATCGATCATCATTTGAGGCACCCCCCACCCCCCCCGATAAGAGGGGCAATAAACCCTAAACAACCCTAAACCCTAAACCCTGTTGTGCATCACTGCCTTGAAAACGGACGATTGACGACAAGGGGCGGCCCACGTTGACGATCACCGAGCCCGGTGGCAGTAGAGAGATCTCTCGCTCCCCGATAAGGCCCTCCGTCTCTGCAGTGTCGGGAAGGCAGATGAAAAGCATCCTTTGCTGCAACGCAGGAGCTGGTTTTTGTTGGATATTCGAGTGTTTCGGCTGCATGTCTTGAAGTGCCAGGTCTCTGGGCCCTGGGAAGCAGCTGATGTAGCTGAGACGGATGAGCCAAGATCACAGCACCTTGCAGAGCAGTTTGTGTTGGATGCTGACGTATCCAAGCTCAGTGCTCTGCCGGCTGTAAGACTCTAAGAAGTCATCTCGGGACTTCGCCAAACACGCGTCTGTAAGTGGGCCTGGCTCCGGAGACTTGGCGTCGCCTTGCGCTGCAGTCTTCCGCGTGGCGAGCACTCGCATGTTCATGGCTGCAAGCACCTTCGGCGACGCTTTGAAGCCTGTGTCTTTCTTTCATTCCTGCAGCGCGTGTCTCTCTGCCCTCTCTCGTCTCCCCTCTTCCCCTCTCCCCTCACCACCTAGACCTACTAGCAGAAGAGCTTTGAAACCAAGATGCGCGGGAAACTCTGCGCCCAACTTCACCATAGCCCAGCCTTGGTGCATCTTGGTACAGAGCGTATTGCATTGGCATGGGAAACAGCTTCGCCCAACCAATGCGGACGTTGCGAACTCGACACCAGCTGGCTTAAACTGTGAAGACAAGTACATGCCCCAAGCCCATGCCAGACTCATCAACATCCCAACAGAAGTTCAGACGATGCCGCGACTCGCTTCCCCCACATCCCAAGCATGAACGGTTGGACTATCCAAAACCCTGAATGTCTTAGTAGCCCAGTAGCCACATTAATATAAGGGTACCCTGTTTTTGGCTGGTTTCTTAAAAAAGGAATCCAGAACCAAAAAAGAGCAATTAAAGGGCACCACTGGGCTTCCGAGAGGTCTTAAAGTGAGTCCTAAGGGCCTCCAAGCTGCACGAGTGCCGTCTGGCCCTCTAAGCTCAGCTGCATCATCGGGTCTGGGTCGCCGTCAGAAGGGAGCCCGCGGGCACTCCAGTCGCCCTTGAAAGTATGTTTCCAAGACATGTTTCATTCGGAGCAGCTTCAGGGCGGGAATGTGGGCTGATGCAAACCATCTGTCTTGCAGGTTCCCACACGGGATGCATGTGGCCTTGCCAGGGCTCTTTGCCTATGTTCATTCCTTCATCACATTACTGCCATCCCTAGGCCCGGCCTTTCGAAGTTTTCGGTCGGCAGGCAGAAGCTGCTTCGCTGCTGCCATGCCCAAGGCAATGGCCATCTCCTGGGCTTCGCATCCGACTTTTCGAGCCTTTTGGGAGACTTCAGCGGGTAAAGAAGGGATGGGAAGCGGATACCCGTTACGGGACACCCCTAAAAACATAGCAGGATCTCCCTGTACAGTTTAGGACATCTTCCTTGGATTCAGGGGCATGTCCCGTGGTTCTAGTCCAATTGCATGTACCTTCCACTTTTGCCTCTCCGCATCGTAGCGCAGAGTCGTACACTGTAGCCAGAGCCACAAAGTGTAGAGACGTGCAGATACCTGTTTCAGTACATAAATAGGAGCACATCTGCCTCGATCGACATGCATTTTGACGAATTGGCGGGTCATAAGAACGAGGCATCAGATGAACAATGAATAAGGCTGAGTACTGTAAGCACAAATCAGGGCCAGAGCGAGGCCAGCATCAGCCTTGTAGCAACTCTGACGCGCCCCTCAGGGCACTGTACACATCTTGGAATGAAGCCCGGGTTGCGTCGTATCCGTTGATGGCCTGAACTCGCCAGCCTTGCCGAATCCCCAGCTCTTCCGCGTGGCTTCCTGGCCGCACGTGCTTGATGGTGACAGGCATGTGCCTGTTGAAGTCCAAGCCCAAAGGCCTTTGTGTAAACACACGCCGCTGCATGGAGGTATCTGGCAAAATGAAGGCAATCTCAAGCTCCGACTTCTTCGCAGTGACCTCTGTCACCGCATCGGCTAGCCATTCATCTCCATCCCCATCCCCATTTGGGCACATCGCCGAGGCGCTTTGTAGAACCGTAAAGCTGTTACGGCCATGCGCCTGGTCATCGCAGTTGCAGCTGCAGTTGTAGCAGCTGGCTGCGCCCATCGCTGATTGCGCAGAGTCGAACCGATAGTGCGATGTTCTACAGAGATGCGTGGGATGCGGCAAGTGACACGTATGTAACCTACTTGCTTGCAGCCGGCGTCTGGTGCCTTCTCTCTGCGCTTCCGGCACAAGGCATGCAAATCCATGTTCAAATAAACGGCAACGAAAGATAATCTTACAACGTGCGAACTCCATTGAGACCAAAACCATACGCATCCGTGCATGTCGTTGCAACTGTGACATGCTATCACGCCTTTGACTGGAGCCTATACGGCAGCAAGCAGGATGCGTCGCAATCCGCTGAGGTGCCATTCGGCCCACACAGCACATGCCAAGCACATGCCAGCCAGGGAGCTGCCGTTGTAGATGAATTGTGATGCCTTAGCGAGTGCTAGTGCCAGCCCCAGCAGTGCCCTCCCCACATGTTCGCATCCTACTTATGCCGAGATGGGGCGGCTTTTGGGTTTTCGAAAGTCTTACTGTTTGTGTGCTTTGTTTATTTGCTTTCTTAGGGGGGGGGGGGGGGGGGGTGTTATTCGTGCTTCTGAAAACTTGTGTGCCACCTCTGAGCTGAAGTGCACATTGTGCACTTGAAGTCCGCGTTGGACCCACCCACCTTGTTGCAGCACCTAGGTAGCCCAGAAGCCATTTCACAAACATGGGTACCGTCCTTTCTGTTTTGGGTATCAATAGGGAACCGTGAAAGGGATGAAAAGGGCACCGCTGGGCTTCCCAGGCACGTTCTTTGTTGCCACCGGCAGTCCAGCAAAGGGGATGACGAGGGCCTGCAGTATATGCATACACTTGTATAAAAAAAATCATGTGGCCTACGCATCCTGACCATATCCCAATGGAGCTCATCCCGCACCTATGTCATGTCACCCTCGCCTTGCAGGCCCTGCGATGGGCCGCACTCTAGTCACTCCAGTCGGGAAGTTTGGCCAGCACAAGTCAAGCGCTCCACCGCCGAGTTGCCTTCAGGTCAGCGCCGCAGGCCTGCAAGTCACCCTCTGCGGGAAAGGCAGTCACCAGAATCTGCCTTAGCTACACTTCGCCCGCATAGAACGTGTGATATCAGGAAAAAGTGTACGTCACAGGGAGTGGACTGGGGGGTGCCCGGCCTTGACCCATGAACGCTATTCCCCCACATGGGGCCTGTGATTCGGCTCATGGGGTTGCTTTGGGGCGCTGTGTTGGTCTTTAAGTTTATGGCGAGACGGCGAGAACCAATTGCTGCCGGCTTGCGTTCCGGGTGGTGCTGCAGGGCCAAAAGTGCACTGCACCTGTTCCCACTGCATCTCGGATCCCAGGTTCTCACGAGCTTTTCACATCTACGCAATCTTGTGGACATGTTTTGGGTCTTGGGTTTGGACCGAGATAGGCTGTGGCTGACTAAACAGGGGCCGCTTGGGAAGGGTCCCTATGACCCTATGTGCGTGGCAGGTGTCCAGCACACATACATTCCACCCGATGCTGCACATCCTGCACAAGTCCTGGGCAATCCTAAGCCCTTTTTGAAGCATGGACTGAGGTCGGCCTAAACCCTAAACTGCTAGAGGACTCTCTAAACCCTAAACCCTACACCCTTTTGAAACCCTACACCCTAAACCCGAAACCCTAAACTCGGACAGTACGCAACCTTGGTCTCTCACCTCGGTTCACAGGAAATTCGCCTGCGGGCGCAGCCGAGCCCGGAGCTCCGCTTGGTCCGCCTCTGTGGCCCGGCTCCTGGAAGCGTTTGAGGGTTGGTTGTGAGGTTTAGGATTTAGGGTTCAGGGTTTAGGGTTTATAGGGTTTAGGGCTTAGGGTTTAGGGTTGTTGGGAATTAGAGGATATCTTTGGAGGTTCATAGGTAGTTCTAAGTGGGGTTAGAAGTAGTTACTTCTAACCGTACTTAAGGCACTCATAAACCTACTAACAGCAGGGGAAGACTTCATGGCCATCATGCTGGCACAGAACAACGCCACAAACTCCAACCTCCAAAACCCGCCCATCACAGATGCGGCGCGTCTCGCAGGCCTTTCGGGTGCCCAGAACCCAATTTTTCAAGGTCTCTGAGGAGCATCCCAGGCACGCTGCCCGAAAGCCGAAACCCCAAAACACCCTGCAAAGCGAAGCACTCACATGGCGACTTTTCCGGGACTTGGGATTTTCGAAAACTTTGGGCAGTCGGTCAGTGACGTGGCTGGCTTCGTGATCATTGTCCCATGCTAAGAACATAGCGGTCTTCTTTTTGGGGAGGGGGAGCGGGGTTGATGAAGGGCCCCAGTTTAAAGTCTGAAGTGGAGGAGTTGCATTCCCTCACTAATCCCCAAGGCCGAAACCCTGTGAACCCAAAACCCCTACTGTAACACCCCAAATCCCCCTCAAACCTTGACCCCCAACATCCCCCAACTCAACCCCTTTTGCCATAGGCCCTCTGTGGCTTCGCCAGCTCAACCCCAAAACCCCTGCTTGGAGGTTCATGGTTCGTTAGAAGTAGGGCAGCCATACTTGCTTTTCTTACAACCTTACTTAGAGGGTACTTCTAACCCCAAGTAGCCCTGAACCCTAAACACTAATCCCTCTAAACCCTAAACCCTAAACCCTAAACCCTAAGCCCTAATCCCTCTAAACCCTAAACCCAGCTCCAGCCAGCAAGGCGGCCACCCCCAGAGCCACCTCAGCTTGCTTGCGGCTTAAAGCATTATGATTATGATTATTATTATTATTATTGTTGTTATGATTATTATTACTACTATTATCATTATGATTATTACTATTGGTATTATTATGATTATTACTACTATTGTTATTTTAAGTATGATTTGTTAGTATTATGATGATTGCTATTACTATTGCTATTATGATTATGATTTGTATAACTCTTAATGTTGTGGCATGGTTTGGCATTGCAGAGAGCTGAAGGTTTAGTAGACCTCCGAGTCTCCAAAGGGGGGCTTCGTTTCCGCGGGCAAGACATCGGGAGTTGAGGGGCTTCGGGCGTAAGCCTCCGGGATTGCGGGGGCTTAGCGGTTGTCTGATGTGAGTTGCAAGAGGACATGCCGAGAGTCGCACGCTGCTTGGCACTGCTTTCAGCCTTTACTGTGCTTTTCTCAGTGCTGGCGAAGAGCCCATAAGAACATGCACTCGCAAGGAAACCTCCTCAGCTGACAGAGGCATCCTGCTGGAAGCGTGTCCTGACACACGGCACGGCTAGCACAAGACGTGCAAGCGGGCACGGGCCAAAAACGATTCTTGCCACCGCCTCTGCCCGTGCGCCACGAGCTCATGTGCTGGAGGAAGGGCGCTGCCTCACTTGGAGTCCAGCGCGTGACTCTGGCTCTGGCTAGCGGCTGCGTCGTATGCCCCGCATGAACACGAGAGCAGAGGGCTGACTATAAGTCCAAGCTGCCGCCAACGCCAGGGGCAAGCGCCGGGCTGCCATGGCTCAAGGGCTCTTTTGGAACCCTTGGCAAGAGCTCAGCAAGACGCCGGAACGCCCATGGGCGCAGAGGGAAAGCAACACATCCCGCTGCAAGCGGTCATGCAAAGGGTGTCTGTGAACTGTGTCTCCCTTCTTCCTTCAGAATCTAACCCCTTTGTTGCAGAGAACCGAAAAGACCAGAGGAGACGATAAGGGAGGGAAGACGACAGACAGAGCGACAAGACATGCAATTCGGCAACGTCCGAGGAATGTCCGAGGGACGATCCGGTTCCCGCTCACTGAATTGAAGACAACGATGGAGACAAGTGGCACAATTCAGTGGGGGATGTGGGGCGCTGGGGGACACAATGACGCACCAAGGAATGTTTGAACAATGTCATAATGATGGCAAGGCATGGTCCACGGTTCTTTATCTTTGCGTAGCGCCCACTGATCGATGGATGAAGGCAGAAGCAGAAAAAGAGAGGCAAACGACACCCGAAACCGACCTCGTCCAACCCTCTAACAAATGTCGCAACAAGAGACAATGGCAACAAAAAATGCGCATCAGGTATGACTTTGAACCAAGTCTGCCCTGTGCGCCCAAAGCAATCTGAACTCCTATCAAGCCCCCTACTCGCAGCGTTTTTTTCTACGCCTGGCTCTCTGCCAGAAGTAGATTGCAATCCTGCTTGAATGCCGCTGCCTCTTTCCTGACCAGCATCAGGGCACATGGGCATCTGGTTACCCAGTTTCCTCTCCAGTAGCATGCCGGCTTCAAGTTGCCCGTACACACCCTCGCTACCTAAACCCTAAACCCTAAACCCCGAACCCTGAACCCTAAACCCTAAAGAGGAACCAACTGAAAATCGCAACAGCAAGCTAAGGCAGCTAAGACTAAGACAGCTCCGAGTCGATGCTTATTCTGTACTTCGTAGCAGACTGGAATGGCAACCACCAATAACTTGAGCACAGAATAATATATATATATATACATATAGATTTATATTTGAATTTATATTTATTCACATAGTCAATATATCTATATAGATATAGAGAGAGAGAGAGAGAGAGTCGTTGCCTGCCTCAGGGGTCGCCGGTGCACCTTCATGGTGCGCACAGACCTCATCAAGAACGTGGCAGCTGTCAGCTCTGACCAGTTGCCCTTTCGTCCTCTCGGGGCCGTGTCATTACAAACCTTGAACAAGACTCTCACCCTCTATGCAGTGCGCAGACTCTTCGGACCGAACGAGCTGAACTGGGAAAACTTCCGCACTAGAGTCGCTACAGTTTGCAAACGGCTCGTTGTTGGAGAACTACTCACTCTAGCTGCATCGCTGTCGTTGCCCCGAAGCAAAGCCATCACTTTGAGCTTGGCTGCGCCCGGCTGCTAAAGGCCGTCGTTTGGTCTCGATGTGGCTTGTACCTCGTCAACTTACTTCGGTGACGATGAACGTTCCGAGGCGATGTGCATGATCCTCACTCATAACCATCGGAGTCATGATCATCGAGGCATTAACCCACAAAAGTTGGATAAAGCCCCAAAAGCAACCAAACAGAGCTAAAGAGATGGTGCAGGACTGACATCGGCTGGCCTCAGGAGTGAAGCGAACCGCTTGATGAGGAACCATAAGTAGCATTGGGTCAGCCTCTGCACATCCTCCATGTACCTCGCATTTTCGTGGGCCGCGGTATGGCAATACCGCAAATGCACGTCCCAGGTGATCCTGGGACCCCGACCTGTTTGCGTTCCCAACCATGTCCTCACGACGGGCGCATTCGCCCGGGTCTTGGGAAAGGTCTTCGCACAAATTTCTGAAACATCTTGCAATTGGCATCGTTTTTTGGTATGTAGCCGGAAGGACCTTCATCACGCTGTCATGCTGCTGTGCCCACAGCACCTTGCCATGGCAAGCTCGTGCCCGAGCGCGTGTACAAACATCGCTTGCAGCACCAAGACATCGTGCCAGGCTAGCAGGTGCAATCGCTTGATCCCTAAGTCCTACGAGTAGTATTATCAAGCTGTCAGTGGCTGCATGTGGTTGCACCTTCTGCCCGGCATTGTGCATGCTGACGACCAGGAGATGAATGCCATCCTCCCACTGTAGGGCTTAGGATGCAGGATGTTTTAGGGTCAGGCGTGGGGGGCTGCTAGGAATCTGGGTTGGCCCTGAGTGCAGACATGCTGGCAGCAGCTGGGGACGCAATGTGCACGCGCGAGTTTGTTTAGTTGGCCGCCAAAATGCGCCAAAACCCAAGGCACGAGACTGGGATTCTACATGCATGAGAACTGCCCCAGGCCTGTGGGACAGCGTGCGTCGCAAAATTGCTGGCACAGTTTCCATGCACTTCTCTCCTGCAAGCCACCATGGTAGTGCTCGTAGACGGGCTTGGCTCCCGCAACATTCACCTCAAATCACTGATGCCCTGCTTTGGCTAGAGCGGCTCCTAAGGACATCCCTTTGGAATGCATACAAGTGTCATTCTGCAACATGAGCACGGCAGATGTTGTCGTCAGCTTTTGCTTGAGAGATCCCGAGTAGCCATTGCCTCTGCATCATGACACGATTTCTCCTTTGTGAGAGTATGACATCCAAGGCGTGTGCCTGGAAGGTCCAGCAAGTATCGCCAGCGCGGCCACCTGTTGACTGCGGCATGTAGTGTGGATTTGGGGAGGTGAGGTTTCTACAGGTACTGAGGTATGTAAGGTTTCAGTGGGGATCAGGGCTCAGAGCTTGGGCTTGCGCAGTGTGGTCACGCAGAAACGTGATGTCAATACCGACGCATCAAGGCTTGGATCGTTCCACATCTTGATCTGAATTTCTACCACGTGTGGAGCCCTGTAACACCAGCACGTCAGCCTTTGTGTCAGCACCCTCGACTCATGTTGAGCTCCTGGCTTGTCGAGGGGGACGAAGCTGGGGTCAGTGTTGACCTCTCTGAATGTGCTGCATACTCAGTGGGAAAGAAAGCTGAGATTTGCCCTAAGAAGCTCAACCAATGTGCGCAGCTCTTGCCAAGAAGAGATTGCATGCTGGCATCGAGGTGTCGACCACCGTTGCATTAAGCAGATCGTCTTCCAGAAAGGCCAGGTCCTCGTTCAACAGGCACCACAATCACGTGGCTGGCCACAAGGACGACTGAGCTCAGGCCGGCGCAAAGTTCGGATCCTCCGACCATGAATCCAGGAAGCGCTTCCTGAGCATCTCCACATGGGTCTCATGAAATGTGGGGGTATCCAGAGCCTACAGAGAGTGACCTTTGGCCCCAGCCACAAAAGCCTAACAAGCCCTTCGGTCCTGGGAGAGCCGCGATACATGTCCTGCAGCTCCACCGCCTTGGCACCCCAGCTGTGCGTGAGCTCGGGTTCAAGCAAAGAGCAGCGGCATCCAGAAATTAGGGGCTGAGCCCAATTCACGGCGCCACGGTCTGTGCCACGCCAGAACGCCGCTGGCTTCTTTGTTTCCCACGGTATCGCAGACATGCCGGACCTGCGTATCAAGAGCGTTGATGGAAGAGCATATTGAAAACTCAGCCACGCAAAAGCTGCGCCAACGAAGGACTGCAGGATCCGGGCATATTAACGAGTGCCGGCCGACACACCTAACAGTTTCAGCACACTGTGAACCATCGAGACCAAACGATGACGCCACCAGTCAGCTGAGGCTGCGGCGTTGGGGAACAGGATATCCCAAAAGTCTTCCGAAGCACAGATGCTGAAGAGAGGAGCGGGGGTCCTGGCCTCCACACTGATTTGTGAAACAGCCGACTCTTGGCTGCACTTAGGAGGGTAGCTAAAAATTAAACTTTTGGCCGCCTTATTAAGAAACCCAATAAACCCAAAAAGGCTAAAGATGTAAGGTTACAGTAAAGCACCACAAAGGACTCCTCAACTCTGACAAGGCCCCAAGCCGGGTAATAACTGGGGCTGGCACCTCTTTGTCCATGGGCCCGTAGAAGGGTGGCTTCCCATGCTCCTTCCTCGCTAGCTCAGAAGCAAGGACAGCAAGTGGTTTCTCACAATACTCTCCTCAGCAATGGCAAGTCGCCATGGTTCAGGACAATGTCGAAGTCTGGCAAGTCCACCGCCGCCTTCGAGGATGTGGACTGGATTGCTGATCAGGCAGTCCCATGACGCCGATGCTGCTGCCATAAGTGCATCTGACTCAGCTGCTGGCAATGAGGTTCAAAAGCCTTGGCTTTGCTGACAGGTGCGCTCTGCGAACAGCAAGATCTGCGTCGAACAGCCCGCATGCTACCTACGACGTAGGAGCTGCGACCACCATGCCCTCAAGCCTCAAGCCAATCCAAATGCAAATCCTCAAACATGTCAAAGACGTCCAAAACCTTCTGCCTAGCACTACTCTATGACAAGTCAGCCCAGCAAGGGACTTTGGCCCATAGTTTTGCAAGACTGGCAGCTGAATCATGGCATGCCCCAAGTCAGCGACAACCCTGCAACAAAACCCGAAACTGAAGCCTGCACCCTGATGATCCACTCAACTACTTCAGATTTTTGCTAAACCCCTTTGGAGCAAAGCATTCGGGTCTCGCAAACCCAAACCCCCCCCCCCCACCCCACCATGATTTGCCGGCCCCTGGACGCATGTGCCAGGCAGGTTGGCTCGGTCGCGCCGAAGTCCACCTCCAGGTGCGAATGCTCCGGAATCACCTGCCCACAAGTTCTGCTTGGGGCTGGCAAGTCTTGTAAGGCTTGGAATTGAGATCTTCACATCCCGTAGAAGAAGGCGCCGAGCCCCCACGGAACGCTGGCATTTTCAAGCCGCATCTTTTTCCACGCGTCGACAGAGCCTAGGACTCAACGCCCTCAAGGTCTGCCAGCTTGCTCTCGTCCATGTCCTTTAGCAGATACCTGACTCTCAGGGCTTAGGATGGTTCAGGGCCCAGGGTACTTCCTGTATCTTGGGATGGCGCCCTGATCTCAACAGCACCGGGATATCCCAAACTCAACTTCCCAAGCGGCTCTTTTTCTGGGGGGGGGATTTTCGGAGTAGGAAGGGATCTGGTCTCCCGCACACAGGCGTCGGCGGCCATTCCACTAGGTCTGAGGGCGCATTGAACCACTCAGCTTGATAGCTGTAGAGCTTACAGCTTCGAGCTTGGGGACGTCCGGAAGTCTCACAGCCTCGTGCAACCAAGCATCACTGCTTCCATCGACTCCTTCCAAGCAGGTGCTGCTGCTGTCAAAGCTTCCATCACGATTGGTGACACACATTTCACAGATTCTCGCCGCAGCAGCACATCCGATTCACGTCATCGAATCGGCCACTGCTTGCCAGCAGGACCCGTCTCCTGGTCTTGCAGCTCTGCCGTGTTGGCAATCCTCCATACAGCTCAGAATTAATGGTCAGTCTGCAATGGCGGGTAGGTCTTGGTCCAAGCCGTCCGTCATAGCAAGTGCTCATCAAGCAGACCCCGATTGGCCTCTACACTCTTTCATCTTAACACCCCCTATGGCAGATGATGCAGCCAAGGCTCATTCGGTCCATTTCAGCTGCCAAGTCTCCGTCATCCTCATCCTCACCTTCGGCTCGCCAGACTCTCACTCCCCCTCCTCGCAGAACTTTCTGAGGCCATGGCGACCCCAACCCAATTTCTGAATCTCCACTGCCTCCGCAGCCTGCACAGGCCATGTCAGAAACAATCACCACAGAGCACACGGGTGCCACCTTAACAGCGTAAGGAACAAAGGTCTCGCCATACTCGGCCCTAACTACTTTTTAACCCCCCCCCCCCCCTCAAAATACAATACGCTCCTGGGAATCGACCGGGCAGCAAAATGTATGTTTGGTAGGTTTATTGCGTTCGTCTTGGGAGCTTTTTTTCTTCCAGTTGTTGTAGAATTGGCAGACATTTCCGGGGCCCGGATTGTACGCCGGCTACCTAGGCCCCCCCCCCCCCCCAGAATACATTAGTTAGACCCGGGTATATCTCGCCAGGCAAGATTGAGTACCTTGCCAAGGTTTGCAACTTCTCCGGCCTGCACCATTCGCGCGTGCCAAGCATCTGCACAAGCAAAATACTGCGCCAGCTGCTGCTTCGTCGACGGCTCCGCTGCTTTGGCCTCGCTTTACCAATGCCCGTTTCCCAGCACTGTGGCCAAACACTCCTCTTGGGATGATGTAGAGACCCAACCTTCTAATTAGGCATTTGGCCCAATCAACGCCAAAGGCTTTGTTCCCCAAGATTTTCTGAAGCAAGTGGCTGCCCAGCCCTCCCGACAGTCTTCGGTCCAATTGTGCAGATTCTGTGCGGCGTCGAAGGTGAGGCTTTGAAACCTCACGCAGCAACAATATGGACCCCAATATAGACCCCCAAATAGCAGGATTCCCTTCTCATAAGGACCCCAATAACGTACCCCTAGTTTCGGAAGAACCCATATCCCAGTGCACAAGCTCGCAAACATTCCGCACACCCGTGTCTCTGTGTTGGCCACCAGCCGATTCGTTGAGACTTCAAGTGTCGAGGCTGCTAGGCGCCAACACATTGACAGCAACTCTACTCGTACCTACAAAAACAGAGATTCAAGGCCCCAAACATGGTGTTTTTCCATGCCTGCGATTGACCGACACATTGAAAGCTGACGACATGCGACTGTTTCATGCCATGCTGTGTCGAGTGCCTTTCTCAGGGAGCCCAGCACCCCATAGTTTGGGAATGTAAGGTGGAACCACACCAGCACTCTGGGCTGCTTAAAAACAGCCCCAGTTGGCATAGCCCTAAGCCCTCTCTCTCTCTCACAGGCATTCGAAGCGTCAAGCCTGCCAGGGATAAGCCCTAAACCCTAAAACATGGGCATGTTGAACATGTTCCCTCCGAGGAGCTTCAAGCAATCTCCTTCAGGTCTCGGGAGCAGGCAGCTCTTGCCGTCTGCCAGAACTGTGAGACCTGAGTTGCGCACTCGAGTGCACACCTGTGGTTGAGGCTTTAGGGTTTTAGGGTTTAGAGTTTTAGGGTTTTGGGTCTCTTGCTTGGTGGCCCCGGGCTACCAAGCTTACTGTAAAGTGCCTGGGGTGTGGATGCAGAGTCGTCAATATGGGAGTTTACGAAACTTAGGGACCCCTTATGATACAAAAAGGGCCCCAAATAAGGTACCACTTGTTTCGGAAACCGCAAATCCTGCTGCCGCCGTGCCACCCAGGAGTTCAATCCTTAACTGAACTTGGAACCCTAGCAAAAATTATTTCTTTGCTGTTTCTTAGGAATTATAGCACCCAAATATTTATTCAAAAAAAAGTGTTCCCAAGAATTCCTAAGAGTCGGGATGGATGGCAGGCGTCCCTGCAGCAGATCTGCCTCGACGACCAAGAGATCTGATGCAAGGCGATCGCGGCAGCGCAACTCCGACCTTTGAAGTTAGGGTTTAGGGTTTAGGGTTTTAGGGTTTAGGTTTTAGGGTTTAGGGTTTAGGGTTTAGGGCTTCGGGAGCTTGCAGGTGGAGGACTGGGAACACTGCAGAAGAGGCCCAAGAACCCACACTGGAACGTCACACCGGCCAGCGACGCTTTGTTTGAAAAGAAGCTCTTCGCAAAAAAGGCTATGGCTTGCTTGCAACCCCCGTCTGTTGGTCATTGGCCACTCCACCCCCGGGGCTTTTGGCACGCCTTCACCATGAGCCGTAAACCTTGAGCCCCCGCGTGCTTTCTATCCCCCGCCCTTGGTCCACAACCGCCAACCGTATATGTATATAGATGTGTATATATATATAATAACTATAAATGTCTACATATTTTCACTTATGAATAAAATGTATTGGTAGTGACAATAACCCTAAACCCTAAACCCTAAACCCTAAACCCTAAACCCTAAACCCTTAACCCTTAACCCTTAACCCTTAACCCCCCCCCCCCCACCTCAGCTCCACCACCTGCTCCTCGGCGAAGCTGGCCCAGGCCTTCCGCGCCGATGCCGAGACATCCTTCTTCGCGGCCGGGCCTCGCATCGCCTCTGGCACCTCATGGGGGCTTAGGGTTTAGGGTTTCGGGGGTATAGGGTATAGGGTATAGGGTATAGGGTACAGGGTACAGGGTATAGGGTATAGGGTTTAGGGTTTAGGGTTTAGGGTTTAGGGTTTAGGGTTTAGGGTTTTGGGGTTCTTGTTACAATCTGAGTAGCTGGACTGTGCCGCAACTGGAGTCTCCACGTTGAGGTACGAGGACGCCGTGCTATCCTTTTGCTAGGCACCCAAGTCACAATGCACCGGTGCCGAGCAGAGGTTCGACTCGGCCCACTTCTGAATGTCTGTTTCCTTTCTTTGCCACCCGCCCAGCTGACCCCGCAAGGGGGCCACCCCGCAAGGAACAGTCGAGGTCCCTCCGAATGGTTCAGCACAAGTCCCAATTTGTGTGCCGAGGGCATGCAGGTTCCATGCCGCGGCTGGGGCTGTTCGGGCAAGGAGCCCCCAACTCTTAGGCTTCAGGGACACCAATGGGCGATTCGACACGAGCCCATATTCAGGGGGCCACAATCCAAGAGGGTGCGCTAGAGTTGGCTTAGAGCTGCAGGAACTTGGACCATATAAGTTCAAGATGATGGGGGGGGGTTGTTCTGAAGCTAAGTGAAACTCCCTTGGTCTCAGGTATACATACATACACACATACACACACATACACACACATACACACACATACGCACACATACGCACACACACACACACAGACACACACATACACACACACACACACACACACACACACATTAATCTATATATATATATACATATATCTAAAATATTACGTATTTGCACATGCATATGTGTATTTGCACATGCATATGTGTATGCACATATGGACATGCGTGCGTGTTTGGGTTTTGATTGAAGTTTAAGGCTTAGGAGCCTCCACTTCCTGCAGCTGCCCGTTTCGTCCCAGACTCCGCACCACTTCCGGCGGCGGTCGGGCAGGGAGGGCCTGTGTCACGTCATGAAACAATCTTGTCGGTTTAGGGTTTAGGGTTTAGGGTTTAGGGTTGAGGGTCTTGTCCTCTCTTACCCTTAGCTCTTTCTGCTCTTGGACATGACCACACTACGAGTAGCAGCTACAAGGATCGGCTTCGTTTGGTGTGCAGCTGACAGCCGAGGCCTCAGAACTAATTGTTCGGCTTGGTCCCAGTGCTATGAGTAAGTTTAGCAAGCTTGCCGCCTATGTTCGAAGTGAATAAGCCCCAAAAATACAGGACATCACGCCCCCGAGTGCCAGTTCAAGGGCCAAGCATCTTCCAACTCCTTGTGGACGGGCAACTTGCCTGCCCACGAGGTGCCGAAATTTGGTTCGACAACTCAGGCACCTGCTCTTAGGCTTAGCTTTGGGGCATCACCCCGGGCTTGAGCCAGGATCCCCAAAGTACGTTGCTCTACTGCTGCCATAACCTCGTAGCTGGCAGAGGGTTAATCCAGCAAGGCCTCACAGAGGACAGGGGCTATGTGGGGGTTTCCAAGATTAGGGGTACCTTCTTGAGGTCCTTGTGATAAGGGAATCCTACTATGGGGATCTATATTACTCGGCGCTATCTCTGAGTCTGAGCAACTTATTAGGGGTCCCTTATTTTCGTAAAGCCCCACGTGTTATCGTGGGTCCTTTTTGTTGAGACCTCGCTGCGTGCATGATGATCAAACCACGCGATGCCTGAAGGTCATCGTTCTTTGAGTCCAAACACTGGTTTTCCCAGAGAAGTGGCTTCGATCATATAAGGCATGGCCAGGACATGCACTTAACAACACGGCCACAGAACTGGCACGACTCTCTTCACACACACACACACCCATTCCCTGCGCTTTCAGGTATACACCCACCTGAAAAGGCACCAACGTTTTGACCGAAAATGCGGACCTTCCGGCTGCCAGTCATCCAGCACATCAAGCTGCACCTGGCCCGCACCTCGTGAACCTGAGTTTAGTTGACACAATAAGAGTTACTAAGTAGACTGAAACTTGGCCGCCTCGGATTTCTACAGTGGAGTGTAGGGAAAGTGTGCTCGGCTCGAATTTTGCACCTTCCTCCTTAGCAAATCCTTGAGTCTGAGAAACATTCAACATACCCCTGAAGCATGCTCTTACAAAGAAGTTAAAGGGGCATGGCAGATTTTCTCCTGTCCATAGGTTAAGGGGTGTGGGTTTGAGGTTTGTTGAAGTAATCTTAGATTGAAAGTGCCGCCAAGGAACTCTCAAACGCCCCGTCGTGCGGCCGCAAGGCCGTCCTGGCCTGCTCGATCTTGAGCGTGGCCCGAATCCTGGACACACGAAACGAACCGGAAGACAAAAAGTCAGGGATCAGTCACATGGGCCCTTTTTAAACCCTAAACCCGGAACCCCCTAAACCCTAAACCCTAAATCCTAAACCCTAAACCCTATATAGGCCAGCTCTCAACCTGAGGCTGCTGCGCGGGTGTCTTGCTGAAGCTTGCAATCACGGGGAATCTTCGGGCCGGATCTTCGGAGACGTCCTGCAGCCATGCTGGCATTGCTTTTGAAACAGCAGCCTCCCCACTGCACTGATTTTTCTAGACAGAGGAATAAAGGCTACAGGGGTACCCTTTTTGGTTTTAAGGGGACTATGAGGGAACACAAAAACCCTAGAAAAAGGAAATAAGGGCCTGCTCTGGGTCCTAGTTTTTGGTACACGCATAGCTGGATGAATGAATCAGTTCAGCAGGGATCCCGATACTCTAGTCCCCTTAGAACCGAACCTCAATAAAAATAGTATTTTCTAACATCCTCTTGGGCTTTATATCAACAAACAGAAACAATTAATTCCCAAGGGGGATATAGGACATTCACTTGCTGAAGATTTCAGAAACTCTGGTGGCCCGGTATAAAGATGTTAGTTTAGGGTTTAGGGTTTAGGGTTTAGGGTTTAGGGTTGAGGGTTGAGGGTTGAGGGTTAAGGGTTGAGGGTTTAGGGAACCGAATTCCGCAGCTCTGGCATCTGACTACTTGGTCACGCAAGACCTGTCTGTGTCACGCTCCTTTGAGGGTTCAGGGGATGTGTTGGGGCTTTGCAGGGTCTGGTGATGGTAGGATGCTTATCTCGCGCAGAATGCACACACGGCCCAGCCTCAATCTGCACGGAGATCTTTGTTCCAAGCGGGTACTTTGCCGAAACTTGTTTTGCGACCTCTCTTTCCTAGCGGCAGAGTGGGAGGCACAGCGGCTGGTGATGGGCTTCAAGACACCAACAACAGCCCTAGTCGACAACCCACGAACCCAGTTGACGTGACTATCTACTACCGTTACTAGTAACACTGTTACGTACATTTTCGTGATTGTACGATCCACTGTGGCCACTGTGGCCTCGAGGGCGATGGGCAAAAGCGCATCCACCTCTGCGCCAATGTCCACTCGCAGTCCGTCACCCAACGAGACCTGAGGCTGTGTTGAGTTCTAGACTCTCGACTTTCACGCTCAGTGAGCCAGGCAAGAATACAAGCTCCGATGTCGCAGCTTTAGGGAGAACCATGCCCATGCTGACACCCTGCTGGTGCTGCAATCGCCCATAGGGCCAGGAGGCTTTGGATGCTTTACAAAGCTAAGAGTGCAGTTATGCGGGGGATGAGAAACCAATCCTGAGCTGCTGCTCGGGATGAAGGGCGCTCTCAGGAGCATGGATTCTCACAAAGACAAATCGCATGATGCGTAGGCTCGCGCAGCATAGATCTCCAGGCTTGTGTTCTCAGGATGCCAAGTTCTCCGTTACAATTGGTATGCATCTTACCCTCTTGTGCTTGCCCTGTATTCAGGCTTCCATGGTTGTCTCACTCCATGTTTCTGTCTCTGCCTCCGCCCATCCAACTTCCAGGTTTGCCTCCATTTCTGGATGGTTGAGAGGCTCTGAGTCTGACCCCAGTTTTCCCATGTCCAACTTGCTTCGAGGTTTCGCCACTAGAAAATGGAGGCAAAATCCAACATAGGGAACTGCAAGCAAGGGTGTGACAACGGGGATCATCGATTTCCGGGATCAGGTAAGGTGGACACGGGGGACTGAAGAGGCGATGGGCATCCCCGTTTCCCAACAGGCTTAGGTTCGGAGCAGGAATGACCGCGGCTTAGGCACTGCCCTACACCAAGCCGAGCTTCATCCGAGCTTACATCCCTATCCTTCCCCATCTCAAAACCTCTCAAGCTTTTGCATCCGGCCTGCTGTGACTCTGCCAGGTGACCAATACTGACTACTCAACGCCTCAAGCGAGAGCCCCTCAACCTAAGATCCCGAACTCTTGACACCCTAAATCTGTTCAGCCCTACACCTTATTCAATATAACTCCTAGACACTGAACCCCAGCACTGTAGCCGCCCAAGGTGCTTCCACGACAGTGCCCGACATGGCGTCGCCCTCCTCCAACAACAGGCAAGGAGGCAGTACCATGTTTACCTACTCGTTTTTCACTACTCTTAACAATCTTTCTCTTACTCTTCTGGTGTTAGTTTAGAGCTCCTCGGCTTACAGTTCAAGCTTCCGGGCTTACAGGGCTGTGGAGCTGGATTCCAGGGTTTCGGGCTTGACCAGGCTGAAATTTCACCAGGCATTGCTTGGCAGTCGGTCCAAGTCCGGCCTTGAGCGACTTCAAGCCACGCCGTTTCGCCTGCGAGCTGGCGGCTTTAGTTTCCCTAAGCCCAAAATCCAATAAACCCTAAACCCTACACAATAAATCCTACACCCTAAAACCCTACACCCTAAAACCCTAAAACCCTTGGTATGCTGGTCATGGACCCAAGCCCTCGACCCTAAGGAGAAATGAACTTGCAAGCCATCTAGACGGAGTGGGCTCATGCTTTCCTCACGTCGCAGAAATGCTGCCACAGTCGCAGCAGTGTGCAAACTACTGGTAGAGAGGAAAAGAACCAAAGAGAGGAAAAGAACCAAAGAGAGTAAGCGTACGAGAGAGTCCCTGCGAAGATCAGACCCCCAAAACGTGATGCGGACGAGGATTCAGACAGTGACAAGACCAGAGAGAACCCAGGACGGAAGCACGCGAGCTCAAAAGTGTCACAGCAAGGGCTGCCATAGGCCCATTTTGGAGCCTCCGTTATAATGGGCGCGTTTTCCGTAAGGTACCCAAAAAGGGACTAGGATTGAAAGAGACGACCATCTGTTCCACACAAGGCTCAGGGTGCCGCCTTCTTCAACAAAGGCACGCGCACTTCACAGATCCTTAGATACCACATGGTTTGAAAGAAAACTTTCAAGAGGGCTAAGGACGGAGAGGGAAAGCTGACAGAGCTCTGAGCCAAGTAACTGAAGTGGTTCCTGCTCCGTGTCGCTTGCTCTCGCCGTCTGCGCCGCCACCTCCGCCTCTGAGAAGCTTGGGGGATTCTCTCAAGTACAGATTACAAATCATTCCTGACATAGCAGAGCCTAGGCTTGAATTCAGAATTCTGGGGTAAGGGTTCGATCTTCATGGGACGCGGCATGGGATCACACTCATCCACAAGATAACTTGCACGCAAGGACCATACAAAGGTGATGTACATCGTGGAGTTTAGTGTACCAGGGTTCGGACACATCCTACATGTCCTCATGCCGTTGTTGCACAACTCTAGACACATCGCCGTAACTGGACACGTTCCTCAGAGCCCACAAGCATCGGAATGCTGCTCCTAAACCTCATTCCCCTCCCAGGTATTCCTGCTGGGATCGGCCATGGCCGGCTCCCTTGGGCAGGTTTTGGGCGGCCACCGTCTCCTTGGGCGCGTCAGAGGCACCCCGCAAAGGCATTACATATTGCTACTTCAAGACTTCAGGTAAGACTTCAGGAACCCTAAGCTCAAACAGACTACTACTGTACGTCTACCTCTGCGACTACTGCTTCAGCTGCGCTGCTCCTACTCCTGTTGACGACCCCGACCCCGACCCCGACCCCGACCCCGACCCTGACCCCGACCCCGACCCCTCTACCCCTACCCCTACCCCTACCCCTACCCCCTACTGGGGGCAGTCGTGGTGGCGTGCGCTGAGGGAGTCATGTCCCAACCCGAACAATATGTGCCTGCTCTTCGATGTTTTTGGGGGGCCTGCAGTGCGCAGCCTCTCTCCAGAAACCCCGGCCCCGCGGGTCCCGGACTTTGTCACTTTGCGGCCTCTCCGAAGCAGTCTGTCCATGGTCTGTCTGCAGACATTTCGAGATACCGGATGCATTTGACTCAGGAAGCGAGAACATTGATAGCCAAGAGTCCAGGTGGAACTCGAGCTCCCTCAGTGTCTCCGCACCTCAGATGCTCATGAGGCCTACATGGCCTTAACAAGGCGCCGCGGGCTGCTGGGGCACTACTTTAGATGCTTAAGGCACAGAAGCTAGCATCGGTAACATCCAGAATCCAGGCACCTTATCTGTGCCGCTATGTTACAAAAGATGCTTTTCTGCATGGCTGCCCGTCTTCGCCGCGCACTTTGCAACAGAAACTTGCCACTACCAGGAACTTTGAGGGACTGCTGCATATGTCATACTGCGACTGGCTTTAGCGGTAGGGGGCAGATCTCATTGCGGATCGAACAGCTGATGGCGGGAATCGCATCCTCGTCTGGCAAAACCCAGGCTTTAGTCTTCTTGATGACAGCTGGCTTCGTCAGCCTTGTGCCATGGAGCTTGAGTGAGAAAACGGGCCAGGTTTGAGGCAGCGAAGAACCAAACGAGCCCCGGCCTTGTGATAAGCTGCGCTCTGGAGAGGCTCTTCGGGCCCTTCTCCCCGATTTGCTTCAGGATCTCACGCAATTCTGGAGAGCTCAGCTGGAGCAGATGGGCATTGAGTCGTTGGCTGTCCTTGGCTAACGATTCTTTATGGGGCCCAGACTCCACACTGCTCCGGGCACCCCGAACCCCTGAACATGTCAAAACCTCTTCTGCTTGCCTCAACGACCTGGAGCTCGCTGAGGTGCGGACGAAGGAAACTGCAAGCCATGAAAGGCTTCGGTTTGGGCTGCTTCGGTTCGGGCTTTCTGGCGTCATGGGCAGGACACGGCAAAACCTTCAGCGAGCCTTCAAACGCACCAAAACCTGGCATCCCTAAACAGCCCCAAAAAAAGGAAGCCCCAAAGCTCGATCAAGGTACGGCCTGTGCAAGCGAAGGTCGAGGAACCTCACCAGGCAGGAAAAGTCTCGAAGGTGGCTTTGGGGGGTTTCGCGATGGAATTTAAAGATAGGCAAACACAAAGAGACAGGGACATGCAGAGATTCAGGTTGAAAGAGCTTTGGATTAGGATCCCCCTGAACCCTAGACCCTAAATCCTAAACCCTGTTGTAAACCCTAAACCCCAAACCTTATAAACCCTATACCTTATAACCCTAAACCTTATACCATATAAACCCTAAACCCTGAATCCTAAACCCTCAAACCGAGGTAGCAGCCCAGATCAGGCCTGCTTGGCTTGGTCCGCCCGTGCCGCGCCCCGAAGTCTCAGGTGCGCTAGGCCTTCGCGGAAGCCAAGAGACGGGTTTAGGTTTTAGGGCTTAGGGCTTAGGGCTTAGGGCTTAGGGCTTAGGGTTTAGGGCATGGGTAGTTTTAAGTAGGGTTATAAGTACCCGAAGTCAGGCTATAGCCAGTTGCAGCTATAGTTGCCCTACTTACAACCCCACCTATAACTACCCATGAACCTCCAGGTCCTGATTCTTAACCCCTTAAAGGGGGATATAGGCTATCTCTTTTTAAGAACCAGCCAGTAATTAACAGTGGTGTTCCAGCAGGCTATACAATGGTTATGACAGTGGATAGGGTACGAGAAACTTGTCACCCAACCCAGAACTAGCCATGAAACCGAAATCCTCGTCCCCTAAACCCTAAACCCTAGACCCCAAACCCTAAACCCTAAACCGGTGCGTGTTCTTCTTTGACCCGCCTTGCGGATGTTTGGCTGGTCTCGACTTGGGGTTTGTGGGGGAGTTGCCTCATGAAGCCCTGAGAAGCTTGCAAACCTGAAGGCCCAAACCCCCTCCAGTGCCGAAAACGGGCTTCAACCCTGAAGCCCTAATCATCCCTATACAATGAATGCTCGAAGTTTAAGGTCGTTTTCAGTACGGCGACAAGAAACCCAAAGTCCGGCTTCAACAGTCTACCCCAAGAGAGCCAAAAGAGCCTGCGGCCACCGCAGCCAAGGGCAGAGCAGGAGTCCGCCAAGTCCCCTTGCGCCTGCTGCAGCTGCTGGTCGCCGGGCCTCAGCTTTGGAGGTTCCTGGGTTGTTATAAGGTAGGAGTATAAGTACCCTATAAGTAAGGTTTCAAGTATAGTTACCCTACGTTTAGCCCTATATATCGCTACCCATGAGCCCTCAAATAGGGCTTCGGAGTCCACGGGTTTTACATGGGCGGTTCAGGGGTTTAGGCCAGCCGTCTGAGGGACTCTTGCGCACACTCAACGCTAGCACCATGCGTGGGTGGTTTGATCAAGCTTCAGGTTTCACACTCACTCTTGCTGGGCCGTTCCCTTTGCTCAGCCCCCATGTGCATCCCCTCTGAGTGTGCGTGGCCATTTTCACTTTATTTGACCACCCTCCCCTCCCCACCTTC